TATTCAATTCATCCTTACTTTCGGTCGAAACTATATTCTGCATCTAATGTTTTGTATTTGAAATGATGGAGTCCAGCAGATATATATTCTATATAATGACTTAAAACAATTGGCTCAAGACTTAATAATCAAAGCATGAGAGAGTATGTTGATATCATATCAAACTTGATAACAGTGACATTAATTATTTTAACATATGTCAAGTCACGAATATAATATAACTTGGTTTGCATTGATCCATCCATGCAAAGACGACTTGCAAAATGACTTGGAGAGCTGTACTTATTACTCTTGTCAGATATATAAGCAACGACGAACAGGAACAGCAACTTCGCTAGCAATGTGTCTCGCGACTTATAAGTCGCCCCAAAACAAATCACAATCCAGCTCCTTTCTCTTTTTGTCTGGTGGAACAAGTCCAAATAAGGAGGGGAAGATGTCAAAACACGTGCTTCATTCTCAGTATCAGCAAATAGGGATGATATCATGTAACGTAATCACAGTGACGAGGCCATCAATCGCCACGATGTCGTCACCCCATAGTTTCAAATTTTCAAGGTTGAAGATATTGCGAATCTGTGACTTTTGCAATGTCATATCATATGGTCTTGCCATTTGTTGTCTTCGTGTTCGCGGTGACTCCTCTCGGCTCTAAGTCTTTTTCTTTACGTGAGCATCAGCTCACGCAGACGACGTCACAGACAGGAAAGCACAGCGTAGTCTTGATCACGTGTCGTGTACTATTAGCTATGTTGACCTGGAACAGCGATTAGATCAACACCTCGAATTTTCTCTGGGTCAACAAAAAAAAGGGTCGTCAACGATTCATTGCGAAATGAGCGAACAATGGCACCACTTCATTTGCGCAAAAAGAGAAAGCAGGTAGGGAGCGATCCCCTCGAGATTAATCCTTTCTTTTGTTTTCAGTTGATACGATTTAGCATACGTAACGAAGTTGAGTCAAGCATTCCATCATCATAGTAATTCTCGTTATTTTCCTAATAGACAACATCATGCTTTACTAGCTCCTCTTTTTTGGTTATTTTGTTTCATGAGATTATATTTACATTTAGATTGGAAAATTGACACTGGAAATATCATAACTTTCGTATGATACTTATTTTGATGTCAAAATTTTTCAACCAATTACTTCTATACCACTTTGATTAAAAAAAATCATTTATGTACTAACTCCAATTTGAGATATCGAAAATCCAAAGTAGCAATATTCTAACATTTTTTTCAAATGATGTGGCAATAATTCAACGTAAATGCCCTAAAACAACTATGCTACACATGTTTGCCTCAAATTTAACAAAATTGGGGACAAATCGGCTCAAATCTCACATCTCCTTCAAACCCTAATTCAGATTGAGGCATTTTGGGACAAAATTAAGAGCTGAATCTTTCTGAGGCATTTTGGAACAAAATTAAGAGCTGAATCTTGCAATGGCTTGCTTCCACACCAACTATAACAAACAAGCACCTATTTCTTTAAACCCTAATCTCACACTCAAGAATTAGGAACAAGTTCAGTCTCTTGTTCAAACCTTAACCTTCCAATGGAGGTCTGCTACTTGATTTGTATGATTTTCTTTTGCCGGAATTGAAATTTCCCGGTGGAAGAGGACGTCCGCGCTTGACAAACCCAACCCAAATGAAAACTCCCAACATTTTCTTTTGGTCTGCCCAAGCTTTCTTAGTGAGCAGAGTTTGAACAGAGAGAAAAGGGACAAAGAAAGTGATTAAAAAAATTTTAAAAAAAAAGAATGAGAAAAGATGAGATGTACCCAAGAAGGAGTGAGATCTCCCTTCGAATTGCCTGAGATTTTTTTCTTTGGTAATTTGCTAGAAGCCCGCCGGTTTTTTTTTTTTTACCGCCAAAGAAGAAGAAGAAGAGAGAGAGAGAGAGAGAGAGAGAGAGAATGAGAAAAGATGAGATGTACCCAAGAAGGAGTGAGATCTCCCTTCGAATTGCCTGAGATTTTTTTCTTTGGTAATTTGCTAGAAGCCCGCCGGTTTTTTTTTTTTTACCTGCCGAAGAAGAAGAAGAAGGAGAGAGAGGGAGAGAGAGAGTTGTAATATGAAACATGGTCATTTAATCAAGAATAGCCAGGTCATGGGCCATGTTGGGTTTCCTTTTCTATAAAAAAAAAACCACGTTGAAATAACAAATTTATAAAAAAAAGGGAAAAAACTACCAAAAACCCCAAACTTTCTCACTTGTGACACATTTACCCGAATTTTTTGTGACACCAAAAACCCCAAACTTTGTTATTTGTGACACATTTACCCGATATACATTGTCCATGGGCATTTTCGTCTTTTTAGCTTTTCTTTTTCTTTTTACTTTTTTTCTTTCCGGCGAGGGGCCCTCGCCGGCGTCGGGCGAGGCTCGCCCTCGCTCGCCAGCGAGGCGAGCCCGCCCGCCGCGGCGAGGCTCGCCTCGCCCGGGCGAGCGAGGCGAGGCTCGCCGGCGTCGGGCGAGCCTCGCCCTCGCTCGCCCGTGCGAGGCGAGGCTCGCCGGCGTCGGGCGAGGAGGGTGAGGAGGGCGAGGCTCGCCGGCGTTGGCGAGCCTCGCCCTCGCCCGGGCGAGCGAGGCCGGGCGAGGCTCGCCGACGCCGGCGAGGCTCGCCCTCCTCGCCCTCCTCGCCCAAGCCTCGCGGCCTTGCCCTCCTCGCCAGCGGGTGAGGCTCGCCGGCGTCGGGCGAGCCTCGCCTGCTCGGGCGAGGAGGGCGAGCGAGGGCGAGGCTCGCCGGCGTCGGGCGAGCCTCGCCCGGCTGGGCGAGGAGGCGAGGCTCGCCCGACGCGGCGAGCCTCGCCCGGCTGGGCGAGCGAGGCGAGGCTCGCCCGACGCCGGCGAGGCTCGCCCTCGCTCGGCGAGGCGCGGGCGGCCCTCGCCGACGCGGCGAGGGCCCTCGCCGGAAAGAAAAAAAAAAAAAAGAAAAAGAAAAAGCTAAAAAGACGAAAATGCCCATGGACAATGTATATCGGGGTAAATGTGTCACAATAAACAAAGTTTGGGGTTTTTGGTGTCACAAAAAAAAGTTCGGGGTAAATGTGTCACAAGTGGGAAAGTTTGGGGTTTTTGGTGGTTTTTTCCCTAAAAAAAAAAAGCTACATAGGATGAATTGCTGGAATATATTATCAAAGGCACTTAAGTGATCGTTTTTCCATTTATGTGACATTCAAGTGTTCACTCGAAAAGTTTTGGCATTAAAGTGAGCAAGGTACAAAAGTTATAGTATCTCTAGTATCATTTTCTCCATTTCGATATGTAGACACGTTTTCTAGCAATTCAAATTTTGGGGTATAACACATTGGCAATATCAGAAATACTAAAATAATTCTTTTGTACATACTAATGGACCCATGTCACAAATTATAATATATCCGTTCAAATTAGTAGACGTCAATGAGGTAGTTAGGCTTTTGATGTTGGTGAAGGAGGTCTACTCAAGAGTTATTAAACGAAGAAATGAACATATTTATGCAGACCCTTATATTAGATAGACCCTCATGTATCCATCGAATTCAAATTTGTATATGTTGAGTATTGACTTTCAAATTGATGACTAGGGTTATTTTGGATTATGCATATTTGTTTTTAGGGTTTTCCGAAGGGAGACTGTAAAATGGATGTGTTGCACAACACTTCTCTAACCCTAGCCTCCGCATTCTCCCCCTTCTTATCTTCTTGTTAGATCTTTAGATCTTGTGGCTCACCAAGTGATTTTGTTTTGCCTTTTGTACTATACTCTTGTACTTGTTGTTGAAGATAATGAAATCTTGTGTCTCGTGTGGTTTTGGTTTTGCTTTCATCCTTTGTTGTGCTTTGATTTGCGCATCTTTTGGTGTTGTTCCGCAACAATATATGCACATATCGATTTCATGTAAAAATTGTTATGTACCTCTGTTTCTTTACTGGAAGATCGAAGAGAAAGGCAAATGGGAGATCTTCGAATGTAGAGAAACAGTCAGGTTACGAAGCTTAATCGTTTGTCAATGCCTCGTCAATACGGACTCCTATCTGAACAACACAACGCGCATCTCTCATTGCATGGACAACTGTGCACGTAATACCAAGGAAGAGCAATTTACATGTTTGGACAGGAAACGGAACTTTATATGAACATTTCACCTAGTTCTCATAAATAAGACTATAATTAGCATGAGATATAGCAGAGCATCCACTCACAAGTTACCAATTATTTTCCATTATCTTGTCTTCACTGGTTCAAGCAATTTGAATGTTCCACACAATTCGAGATTTTCATTGATCGTTTAAAAAAATTGAGAATTTCTATGCTAGTTCCGAGGCACATGTAATGTTCTAACCACCATAAAAGCAAGCAATTTCCAGGAAATTTCATAGTCATTGATTTCCTTTCCCCGTTTTGAAAAACTCGAGGAGGTGGAACCACTGCAATCCTCTGGTCTTCATCCCTATGTTGTTTCTTCTAAGTTGAGACATCCCGATTCTTGAAAAAAGTGTTGGCTAAATTAGTCATATATACATACTATGATTAAGGATGTTTGTTTTTACATTACCAAGGAAAATTGTTAGGCCAAAAGTTTATTCTGAATATGTGTCAGTGATCTCGTAACCTAGGGTGGAATTCGGCTAATTATTAATGATATTGTCGAATTGTTTTACTCGAGTCCATAGATTAGACTCGATCAATTGATAGACCACATCACGAGTCCGAAAATGGAAAAGCATCCTAATTTATATCCCATCTAATTTAAGTAATTATCAAAGTAAGAATATTTGAGGTGGTTTCGAGGAAATTGATTAATAATTATCAAAACTAGAATCCGAGGTGATTTCAAGGAAACCGTGTGAATAGAGTTTTACCGTGTTTCGAATCTTGTATGGTAATTATAAGGCATAAAAGTATAAGGACTTTTGAGGTGGTTTCGGGAACTTCTTTTTTTTGTATATATTTCTTAGACCGTGTGTTGTCAGATCCTAATCTCCTCGTCGCAGTCAAAGAAGATTCATTATATAAGTGCATATATGTTGTGGTCTCCTATTTCGTTCAATGAAAGCACACCCACTAGGTTCATGAACCCGTCGGACATGGCCAGCACCCACAATCGCAGCTTAGAAGTCACCGTCATCTCCGGCGAAGACCTCCGCATCAATGACCGGCCCATCAAGAGCAATGCCTTCGTCACTGTGAAGGCCGACTCTTGCGGCTCGCCTTCATTGCAAGACTCGACGAAACCCGATGCGCTGAGCGAGAGCTACCCTTACTGGGACGAGAAGCTCCACTTAGACTTGCCTGCGGGCTCGCGCTACCTTGTCATCGAGGTCTACCGGAGGAGCTCCGCGGCCGGAGACAGGCTCATCGGGACAGCCTGGATTCCGGTGTCGGACTTCGTTGGAGACTACACGCCGGAGAATTACCTGCATTTCTTGAGTTACAGGCTGGTAGACGCCAAAGGCCTGCGCAACGGGATCATCAATATCTCGGTCAGGGTCGTCCCGTCGTCATGTAAAGGGACTTCTGCATCGCCTTCGTTGCCTTCCGTGCCCAAGTTCGGGATTCCAGCCGATCGAGTGGGGACAGGCGGGACGGTGACCGGCGGGACGGTGACCGGCATGCCGGTTTGGTATCCCAATCAATGGAAATCTTGAGAAACACGGGTGTTTCGATTCTAAACTTTCAGGAGGCAAAGAAGGTATCCAGATTGATGAGTTTGGGATTCTTTGGTATGTCAGTTACGGTTTGGTTTTTGGTCACGCAAGTGATCGTCGTATTGGTGTAGACAGAATCGTAATACAAATGACGAAAATTATTGACTAATTCCGTATTTATTATAGATTTTGCACATGCTACAAGCATTTATTTTTCCCTCCTTTATAAACTCAAATGTTTAAATATTTTCTGGACATTTTTCACTTTTTTTAGCGAAAAAAAGTGTAATTTGTGGAGAATTTCTGCGATATAAATTAGTTGATCGCCCACAGTGAATATAGACTGGGTCAATTCGAAATAGTAATTGGAGGAACTTGTATGAACTCCAAAAGACAAAGCTCTCGTCAACCTATAATGCAAAATTCTTCAAAGCTCACGTGATTGGACTTCAAATTTCGTTTACTGAAAAAGCACCAAAACCGATGAATTTGGTCAGCAATTGAACATCTTTTTGGTGTCACTTTGTTAGAATTTGTTCCCTTTTTCAGTTTGTGGTTCGGTGTTGGTGGTGTGAATTCCCAATATGAGATTGCGTTTGCGTAGTAAAGTTGAACTATTCTTTCGTTGGCGAAAAAAGAAAGAAAAGCAGGAAGTGTTCTCTCTTCTCTCTAAACAATTTTGATGCATTACATAGATTGATTTCACAATTAGTTTTGATTGGAGGCGCATTGTATATTTTGAATAGGTTAAGTAGGTACTCGAAAATCAGGAAGATTTTTTTTTTTGGTCGAAAATAATCTGGAAGATGGCTTGCTAAAAAAAGCTATGCCCCCAATAACTTGAAAGATGTTATTAGGTGCCACATGATAATCTGAAATGTAAACTCTAAAGATCATTTGGATTTCATTTATCTAATCTAATATTGGATTGTTGTATATGCTCTTGATGATCATTTTCTTTTTGCCCATAATTGAGTCTGTCGTGGAATGGTGTGCATTACAACCATTAATGATGATTAATTTCCACCATCTTATTGCAGAATGTGCGATGTATTTTTTTTCCTTGGAGCCGTATAATGTAAAAATTTCTCCAAAAAAGAGCACCGGCACATTGGTCCTTTATGTCATAACGCTTGTCATACGACTTGTCCTTAATGTTCTATTTCCAACGTGAGAGAACAATGTGCATCGATGTATCTTACTAGTTCCATAAATAAGATAAATTGTAAGTCAAAACTCAATTAAGTGGCCCGAATAATATGAGACTATTTGCCTTAGCCATTCCGATTATTGAAACGATGTTATGTTTATAATCCTACATATGAGTCCTTTTTCTTAAAACAGTTAGCCAACTCAATGGTCCATTCTCAAATTTCTCCTGCGCCTTCCTAGGGAAAGCCCAGGAAAATGTATGAATGTCTCGATTAAGTTTTGCTTCCATCTCATGAAGCAATCGTATCAATCTAAGATCTCGATGAGGCTTGTAAAAGCATTCAATCGTGATTCACAATAAACTTTGCAAAACTATTGAAAAATTCATAATTTGGAAAATATTTTCCTAAAACGATTGCTCGTTTCGGTGGTTGAAATAATTAGTTTACGATAAACATTTTGTTTGTCGACAATAATTAATGCCTCAATATTTTCATCTTTATTTGTGATATAAATGATCTTTTTAGGAAAATATTTTTCAAATCATTAATATTTCGTGAAATAAACGGAGCCTATATTATTCCTTTGCCTTTTAAAAACATTTTCTTGTTTTCATAAGAGAATCTAATCTATGTCGGCCCTCATTTGGATGATATTCATCCATATATTCTACTGCAAAATCAAGAGCATAGGTTTTATTGAACCGACCTCAACAAAGTCAAGGCGTGTCCACGTGTCGCCCACGTGTTCACCAAATCCGCTCCATGCATCCACACGTGGCGATCGTAGCATCTTAAGCGGCCTGAATTATCTACTTGTTTTTTTAAATTAAACTTTTATAACGCAATCCATTATTAACGTTGGTTTCACATGGTTCAAAGTCTGAGAGTAGTTACATATTATTATTTTTAGGTCCAACCATTGAAAAAAGTTCTCAGTTGGCGTATTCTATAAGGTAGTGAAAATAAAATGTCACATGGTGTCGCCGCATAAGGACGGTAAAATTGGCCCGCCCACATGGTTCATAATTTATAAGGCGAAATTTAGGTGGTGCGAATGGACTTCGACCGATTTAGGTGTTGTTCAAAAGAAAAAAAAAATATATGTTATGGTTAAAAATTATCCAAAAAATCATAAACTTATTACGCTTTGACCAATTCAATCATAAACTTTTTAATTGTATCAATTGAATTATAAATCTCATCACATTTTGCAAATTAAGTTCATTTGACTAATTTTAGCCGGAAATCGCTGACGTGGATATTGGCCGTCCTAGTGGCATGGCCGGTGCCTTAGACAATTTATAATAACATTTTAATATTTTTTTCAATATTTTTTTATTAATTTTTCATCTTTTTTATTTTTTTCTATTTTCATTCTTTTCTTTTGGGCTCAGTCCCCAACTTACTGTTTCAATTGCAATCTGACCAACCCAAAGCTTGGCTAGTCACGTTCAGAGAGAAGAGTGTCAGAAAAGTCATAAACCTTTTGCATTGGTGTCAATTTGTCCTAAACCTTTTTTTGATACAAATTCAGTCCTAAACCTTTTTATCTTTGTGCCAATTCAGTCCTTCCGGCTAATTTTGACCGGATTTTACTAATGTGGACACCGACTGGCCTACGTGGCACCGCCGGCGATGACGTAGACAACTTTTAATAATATTTTAATATTTTTCGATTTTTTTATATTTCTTGTTTTTATTCCCTTTCTTCTTCCTCCAGCCGGTCGCTGGCCTCTGGTGAGCCCCGCCCGGCCAGCCACTGGCGAGGGCGCCGAGGCTCGACCCTCGTTGGATGGCCTCGAGGGCAGCCTCGCGCTGGGCTGGGCAAGGCTCGCCCTCGCCGGATCTAGCGAGGGTGGAGCCTCGTCTGCCGTGGGGGAGGCCTGACCTCACTAGATCCGGTGAGGTCGTGCCTCACCCAGCCCAGCTCAAGGCCTCCCTTGCGGCCATTAGACGAGGTCGTGCCTCACCCAGCCCAGCTCGAGGCCGCCCTCGTGGCCATTCGGTGAGGGGTCAAGCCTCGCGTTGGGCTGGGTGAGGCTCGCTCTCGCTGGATCTGGTGAGGGTCGAGCCTCGCCAGTTATGGGAGAGGCTCGACCCTCGCCGGCCATGGGTGAGGCCCGACCTTGCCAGATCCAGCGATGTTGTGCCTCGCCTAGCTACTGGTGAGGCTCGCCGTCGCTGTCGTTGGCGAGGGTGAGCCTCGCCAGTGGCCGGCGGGGCTCACCAGCCTTGGCCTCCAGTCGGTCACCATCCAGCGACCAGCTGGTGGAAGAAGAAAGGGAAAGAACAAAAAGAAAAAATTGGCACCGAGACAAAAGATTTAGGACTGAATTGACACCAAAAAAAGGTTTAGGACTAAATTGGCACCAATGCAAAAGGTTTATGGCTTTTCTAACACTTTTCCTCACGTTCAGATCCTTTGGAAAGTAAATTTCGAGAAAAATATTCCCATTTAAAAACTATACTAAACACCTAGATAATTTATATGCAAGAATTTAACATGAAATATTTTTATGGAAAAACAAGTTTCCAATTCTTTTTTGGAAATTTGTAAACATGATCTTTGGACAGAAATTTAGGTGTCAACAAAGAACGTGTAACTAGATTTTCGACACTATTTTGCAATTCAGATTAAAATGTGAAAAACTAAAAAAAAAAGCTCCAAATATGCGATTTTTAACTTTAGACCCATAAGATCAAGATTGGCTAGCTAATTAGATTGAAATTTAATTTTCAATTTTGAAATTTAGATTCGCTCAATCTATTTGAGTAAAAAAATCAGCAACTAAGTGTGTATTCATAAGCGGTCGTAAATAGAAATTTTTAATTTTTTATATAGCTTTTATGATTAAAAACATGAAACCATAAATTAAAATCAACAACTTTCTAAAGGAAAAGTGATAACATGATTAAAAACATGAGACCATAAATTAAAATCAACAACCTTCTAAAAGAAAAGTGATAACATGATGCAGGGTAAGATGATATCTTGTTGTGCGTAATGGGGCATGTAAAATCGATTAGATATGATATAGATAAAGTCGGTTTTGTTGGTTCGCTTGATAAAAAGAGAAACAATACATTGAAGAGACAGAAGAAGATATTTCGGTTAGTCAATTGAAAAAATGAGTGTTTAGCCAAAATGTGGGTGGAAATAGCGCCGCCCTTTTTGAATTGATTATATATATATATATGGAGTTTTAAGAATAATTTTATTTTTGAACAAAAAAGAAAATGCGGATGATGTTTAAATTTAGCCAATGATATTGTATTTTCTTCTCCCTTTTTTTGGTCCCTCATCAATTAACAAGAAACTAAGGCTCCGTTTGTTTCGCGAAAAATGAATAATATGGAAAGCATTTCCCTAAAAATGATCGCTTGTATTTATAATAATTAATCAGTTAAAAATGTTTTCATTACCGGTAACGAATTATGTATATAATAGTTTTCGTAGATGATGGAATTATTTTCCGTTCACTAATTGTTTTAAGCAATATAAGCTATCGTTTTCAGGAAAATGTTTATCAAATCGTTTATTTGTCCGAGAAATAAACGGAACCTAATTACATGCAAACTTGATCCTAAGCTAATCTTCGTGATCGCGACCACTGGAGGCTCGGTATCAGTGCATTTTTGCCTCTGATAGGCTCCAAAGGCCAGAAACATTATTCAGTTGTCGAGCAGGTTATATCCAAAGCAGGCCAACATGGAGACTCATGCAATTGCAAATGCACGCCGTAATTGAACGTCTCCATTTGCATGTCCTTACGCGCGTCAACCTAGCTCTACTTAAGAAAACAAAATTGGCTTTCTCCCTTAAAAGAAATGCGTTCAGCAATTCGTTGAACAAGTGAGACTTTGTGATTAGATTTAATAACTTACAAATAACTTCGATCTAAATCCACGAGGAGACCAAGACGTGTATACTTGTTCAAATTTGATAGACCAGCATCATGTTCTAAGAAATAACCTCTGAATGAATTTAGTATCATTTTCTTCCTTCCAATACACCATATTTATTACATATCAAGAAGTGGAGCCACGTATCATTTGATCCGAGTCACATAAATATAACACAATATTTATAATCTTACATTGCTAAGGAAAATTGTTAGGGAAAAAGTTTATTCTGAATAAGCATGAGTGATCTCCTAACCTAGGGAGGTATTTGGCTAATTAATAATGATATTGTCAATTTGTTTTCCTCTAGTCTATAGATTAGACTCAGATTAGTTGATAGACCACATCACTAGTCCAAAATTGGAAAAGCATCCTTAATCATTACCCATCTAATTTAAGTTACTATCAAAGTAATAACTTTGAAGTGGTTTCGAGGAAATTACGAGATTCATCTCATTGTAACTGAATAATTACCAAAATTAGAGCCGTGAGATGATTTTAAGTAAATTATATAGACACATTTTTATCATATCTCGATCACGTATAGTAATTGTAAGCATAAAAAAGTAAGGACTCTTGAGGTGATTTCGAGGAAACTGCAAAGGTTTTATATATAGAAGCAAGATGGTAGTTCTCCACCGCTTTGTCTTTCGTACATATGCATTATTTAAAGAAGCGTCTACATTTCCTTGTCCGAGTCTTTCTCGGATCCTAATCTCCTCGTCGCAACCAAAGAAGAACCGTTCCATATATACATATATATATATATATATATATATATATATATATTGTGGTCTCCTGTTCCGTTCCATGAGAAGCACACCCACCAGTTTCATGAAAATGTCAGACATGGCCAACACCCACACCCGCAGCTTAGAAGTCACCGTCATCTCCGGCGAAGACCTCCGCATCAACGACCAGCCCATCAAGAACAACGCCTTCGTCACCGTCAAGGCCGACTCTCGCGGCTCGTCATCATTGCAAGACTCGACGAAACCCGACGCGCGGAGCGAGAGCTACCCTTACTGGGACGAGAAGCTCCACGTGGACTTGCCCGCGGGCTCTCGCCACGTCGTGGTGGTGGTCTGCCGGAGGAGCTCCGCGGCCGGAGACAAGCTCGTCGGGACGGCCTGGATTCCGGTGTCGGACTTCGTCGGAGACTACACGCCGGAGAATTACCTGCATTTCTTGAGTTACAGGCTGAGAGACGCCAAAGGCCTGCGCAACGGGATCATCAACATCTCGGTCAGGGTCGTCACGTCTTCATATGGAGGGACCGCCGCACAGTCTTCGTTGCCGTCGGAGCCGAAGTTCGGGATGCCGGTGGAGCGCGAGAAGAACGGGGGGACGGTGACCGGCGTGCCGGTTCGATATCCCAATCCATGGAAATCTTGAGAGACACGTGTGTTTCGATTCTAAACTTTCAGATGTTAAAGAAGGTATCGAGATTTACGAGTTTGGGATTCTTTGATCTGTCGCTTACGGTTTGGTTTCGGACATGAAAGTGATCGTCGGTTTGGCGTAGCTTCAAGCGTGCAAGTGGCACATGTTGATTTGATTTTTTGTAGACTTATATTACCTTGATGTTTTCGGTCCCTTTCCCTATCTCTCTCTCTCTCTCTCTCTCTCTCTCTCTCTCTCTCTCTCTCTCTCTCTCTCTATTACAAGGCACGCTAAATGGTGCCATTTCATCTCAAAATCTTGTCAAAATATTTCATGAGAGTCCATTTTTATTTATTAAGATCAATCACAACATCATTATTAGAATCAAAATAGACAGAATCGTGATACAAATAACCGAAATTTTTTTCACTAATCCCGTAAATGTCTTAAATTCTGTGTTTTAGTTTAGATATCGCACATGCTACAAGCATTTTGTTTTTCCCTCCTATATAAACTCAAATCTTGAAATACTTTCTAGACCCGTCTAAAACTTTTCTTTTTTCATATGCCTATATTTCTGCTTTTCTTTTTCTAGTGAAAAAAGAAAGTAACCTGTGGAGAATTTCCACCATTATAAACAAGGGGATCAGCCACAGTGAATAATGAATATAGACTGGGTCAATTCCAAGTAGAAATTGGAGACACTTGTATGAACTCAAATGGACAAAGTTCTCATCAACCTATCATGCAAAATTACTTGTCAAACCAAAAAAGGAGGAGCTTGTTCTAAACAATTCTTCACCGTTCGCGCGATTTGACTTTAAATTTAGTTTGGTAAAAGAGTAGAAAGGGAGGTGAATTTAGAATTCTTTGGTCTGTAAGTTACGTTTTGGTTTTGGTCATCCATTGCGATCTCTTTTGAGTTGGCGTAGGTAGGTGGTGCGAACTTCCAACACGAAATTTGCTTTTGCGTAGTAAGGTGGAACTACTCTTTCGTTGGGTAAACAAGGAAGGAAAACCAGGAAGTGTTGTCTGAACAAGTATGATACATTAATATAGGTTCGGTCAATTACTAAAAGATGAGATCAGAGAAAGATTAATATAAGGGATATACGAGGGTGCATTTTCACAGCTAATTTTCCAAAGAATTCTTTAAAGCGATACTCCCAACAACTTGGAAGATTCTATTAGGTGCTACATAATAATTTGAGTAAATCCTAAAGATCATTTGGATTTCACTTATCTAATCTAATATTATAATGTTATATATATGCTCTGAATGATCATTTTTGCCCGTACATTGAGTCTGTCATGGAATGGTGCATCACAGTCATTGATAAATATTAATCACTATGATCTTATTGCAGATTGTGTCAAAATTCAATTAAATAGCCCAAACAATATATGATTGTCCACCTAAGTAATTCGGATAATTGAAGCAGATAAGAATATTGTGGAAAATATTTTTTTCAGTGATATGATAAAGAATACACCAACTTATTTATAGGTTAATTATTAGATAATTATATAAGATAACATCACAATCAAAATATGCACAATCCGACGAGATATATCTTTAATTATTAGATAAATATACGCATAATCTCGAGAGATATGAAGAATTACTAGAAATATCTTAATTATCTCTATAAAAAGAAAATCTTAATGTTTATAATCCCATAGAGGGTGCTTTTCTTAAACTAGTTAGCCAACTTATGGTCATTCTCAAATTTCTCTTGCACTTTCCTTGGAAAACCCAGAAAAATAGATGAGTGTCTTGATTAAGTTTACTTCCATTTCATTAAAATAGTCACGTGAATCTAAGATCTCAACGAGGCTTTCTGAATGAACTTTGCAACACCTATATTACTCCTTTTCATTTCCAAAAAATCTTTTTGTGACTTAATATGAACTCGATCTCTATGCATGTCATCCATTTCGTCTTGTGAATTTTCACATAAAAAAAAAATCTAATCTATGTCGGCCCTCGTTTGGATAATATCCATTCATATATTCTACTAAAGAAAATCAAGAGCCTAGGTTTTTATTGGACCGGTGCATTCATACGTTCTCGTGAAAAAAAAACGTATGAAAGCTTCCTGACTTTTCCACGAAAAAAAAAGAAGTGGATAACGTTAAGGAGGAGGACTTAACGTTAACAAAGTCAAAGCATGTCCGCCGTATCGCACACGTGTTCACCAAATCCGCTCCATGCATTCAAACGTGGCGGTCCTATCTCCCTTCAGCGGCCTGAATCATCCACTTGTTCTTTGATAAAGACTATACCACCATAAATCTGGGAGCAGTTTACATATTATTATTATCTTCTTTGGTCAAACGATTGCCAAGTGTTCCTCTGTTGGCGTGTTCTACAAGGTAGCTACGTGGTGGCGGCGCCGCCTCAGGACATTAAAATTTGCCGGCCGGCCGCCACGTGGTTAATAATTTATAAAGGTGAAATCGAGGTGGCGCAAATGGACTTCAACCGATTTAGGTGCCCTACTTTGCGGGGAATTTCTTCGAAAAGAAAACGTACCGCGTGCTCTCGTTGACCGAATTGCTACGGTCTTTATACGGAGAAACCTGCTTACTCCAGGATATTTCTCATAACACAGTGAAAATTAGACCGACAAACTTTGCCTAAACATGGTGTGCGTTTTTGGAAGTGATTATACATATGCGTGGAAAATGTAAGAGTAATTCGATTTCAAACATGAAGGAAAACGCGCACGACTCTTTAAATAATAGACAATGACATTGTCCTCTTCTTTTTGTGTTCGCCAATTAACAAGAAACTATGCAAACTGTTAGAATAATATAAAATTGATTGTTGAATATTTGAGCATGTTGGTTTCTGAGCTACAGATTTGGTTGTTGGTATTCTTCAAGGATTACCTTGATTTATGGTGGGCGTCAGAGGAGGAATGAAATTCAATCGGCCAAGCACGATTCATGGTAGCATGACTTCTCATGCATATATAGACGAGGAGCTTCCTTGAATTAGGGCGCGTTTGATAACGCTTCTTTTTTTATTTTTCTCGTTCTTCATTTCCGGAACAAAAAAGCACGTAACTGCTTTGTGAACACATTTTATTTTTCATTTCCTGGAATAGAAAAGTGCCACAAAATATATTTGGAGGGAAAATAAGTAAGTAGAAAAATCTACTTTGTTCCTAGAAATAGAAATAGAAATAGAAAGGTCCGGTCCTCAAGTCGCGACCTCAGCTCCTCCTCCATCCTCCGTCGTTGCAAACCGTCTCAAAGCACCGGTCCGGTCCATTCTCGACGGAAATAATAAAAAATTAATTAAATTATAAAAAATTAAAAAATTCCAAAAATTCATAAAAATCAGAAAAATTCTCAGAAAATCCATAAAAATCAGAAAAACTCAGAAAACCCATAAAAATTTGCAAAATTCCGAAATTGAAAAAATTAAAAAAAATTCATAAAAAGCTTTCTGAAAAATAAAAAGAGATAAATTTCGGGAAAGTAAAAAGTTTTACCCCAAAAAAAAACAAAAATAAAAAAATTCACATAATGGCTTAGAATAAATTAAAAAATTCCGAAAATTCATAAAAATTAGAAAAATTTCAGAAAAATCCCATAAAAAATTAGAAAATTAAAAAATTCCCAAAATTCATATAAATCAGAAAAATTCTCAGAAAATCCATAAAAATCATAAAAGCTCAGAAAACCCTTAAATATTTGCAAAATTTCGAAATTTCGAAATTAAAAAATTTCATAAAAAATTTTCGGAAAAATAAAAAGAAACAGATTTAGGGAAAGTAAAAAATTTTAATAAATTTTACCCCAAAAAAATATAAAAAATTCACATAATGGCTTAGAATACCCGCGCCACCCACTTTGAGTGAAATTTAAATTTTTGAGGTGCCCAAGTGGTATTTTTGAAGATTCCTTAGTTTAGGGATTAAAAGGGGTTTTAAACCCCTAAAAAGGATTAGACAAACCAATAAATCATGCTTATTGGTTTTTTTCACTTATAACTTGTACTTATAGTTAAATAAAAGATATAGATTTAAATGCAAAAAATTGGGAATAGAAATTTTGTGCGAGTTACTAAACGCATTGTTCTTTTTCTATTCCAAGAATAGAAATTTTGTGCGCTTACCAAACACATTTCTTCTAGAAATAGAAATTTTGTGCGCTTCTAAACGCATTATTTTCCTCGAAACTCTTCCAGAAATAGAAATAAAAACTATTTAGAAAAAATTGTTTCGAAATAGAAACGTTACCATACGCACCCTTATCGTGCGTATTTTCTTTGACTTTGTTTGTGTGCTTTGTGGACTTTCTTGTTTTTCTCATTTAATATTGCCAGAGCAAATGCCTAAGTTATGTACACGTCCAACCGTCATAAGAGATTGTGAACTTCAGATTTGTAGTTGCACCCGAAGACAAAGCATTTGCGATTCAATAAGTTCTCCATCCTCCGGTCTTTATTTGTGCGCCTGTTCAAAACTTCCAAAATTATCATTATTCCTTTTTGGTTCCAACACAAACTTGATCCTAAGCTAATCTTCGTGGGATGTTCGAGGCTTCGCGTTGGTGCAATTTTTCCTCCGATAGGATCCAAAGGCCGGAAACATTTATTGACTAGTTGAACAGGTTATATTAATGGTGCAATTGGAACTTTATGTCTTAAACAATTCATGTAACCATGATTGGAAAATTGTGGTGGACCACTGAATTCACGCCATAATTGAACGTTTCCATTTGTATGTCCGCACGCGCGTCACCTAACCCTACTAGAGAAAGAGAATTGGCTTTTTCCCATTAAAGAATTGCGTTCAACTATATGTTTAACAAGTGAGACGTTGGCGATTAGATATAATAACTTGCAAATAATCACGTGTCATTTGATTTACAGTTGTAGACACCAAAATATCTTAGGTTTTAGAGTCGATAGTTAAAGGGATAATGACACAAATGATCACTGAACTTTGGCCTAATATGTAATGTGGTCCTTAAACTTTTAATTTGTTCAATGTGATCCATGCACTTTAGCTCAATGTGCAATGTCATATCCGAACTTTTAATTTGTTCAATATGATCCCTGAACTTTTGATATGTGTAGTCTCTAAATTATATGAAAATGGTCAATGTTGTCCTTAATAATTTAAAATTTAAAAAATAATTAAAAATTTTGAATATCTTTGTAATTTTTTTTCTAGAAAATCAAATCGAATAGCGAACGGTGGAAAATATTTTCCATTTCATTTTCAGGTTTCAGCCAAACACAGGAAAATATTATCATTTTCCTGAAAAATGGCTTCTTAGAAAACATTTTCAAGGAACATCACATTTTTCGCGAAACGAAAATTAGTCGGAGTTACGTATCATTTAATTTGAGTTACATAAATAAACACAAAATTTATACTTTTCCATGATTGATTTTGACACTGTATCATAGAATCTAATTAGTTTACTTTAGGGTCCATTTGTTTGAAGGAAAACTATTTTTCAGAAATTGTTTTCCGCTATTTGGTTGTTTAGTTTATGGAAAACTTATCAATCTACAGAAAACATTTTCCATGAACCGAAAACAACAAGCATAATTTTGGGGAAATGACTTCTCCTTCTAGCAAGAAGAAAATCATTTTTCCTAAATCGCTAAACAAATAAAAACTAACAATTTTCCTTAAAAATAATTTCTTTTATCACGAAGTCTTCAATGAAACAAACACATCTTCATTTTTCCGTGCCTTTTCTTCCTTCCTGGTTCTTCAATTAGGTATGGTGGGTAACAAATGAATATTTAGCCATATGAGTATTTAATTAAAAATAACTGTGGATAGCGTGTGTCTATATATGTGTGTGTAATCTACGAATTAAAAATTTGATTAGAGGAAGAGGGTCCGATCCTATCCCCTCTAATGAATTGAATTAGTCAACATATACAAATATTTTCTTCGTTTGTACTTATGGCTATGACTTTTCAACCGCGAAAACCAACTTTAACTCGTCTCTTGAACCCCGTCGCCAATCTCTCGCGTAATACAAATATTACCGCGTCAAGCTCGGTCCATACGCAGAAGAAGAAACAGAAACCGCCCACCTCCTTCTTCCTCCTTTCTCTCTCCCTTCCTTCACAACCCCTTATATATAGAGCCAAACCACACACCCTCTTTCCTCTTCATAGTCTTCTTCATCTCAACACTTCTCATTACATTCATCTCCTCCATTTCTTCCAATCACAAGCTTCAAGCTTTCCAAGCGGTGATCTTCAACCCAGAAAAGGAAAAAAAGAAGATGAAGCGAGCCTTGGAAATCACCTTAATGTCGGCAGAAAACATACAGCTCAACAAAAAGCCCGTGAAGAACGCCGTCGTGGCGGTCCGGGTGGAGCCCGGCAACGAGTGCTCGACCAAACCGGCGCTGGACAGTGGAACAAACCCTACGTGGAACGAGAATGTCGTGGTTGACCTACCGCTGCATACGGGCTTCATTACCGTGGAAGTGAAGTGCAAGAGCTCGTCGGGTAGTTACAAGCTCGTTGGCGGGGCGACCGTACCGGTTTCGGACTTCGCTGGGGATTTTGGCACGCCGGAGGGCTACGTGCATTTTCTGAGTTATAGGTTGAGGGATTCTAACGGCGTGCGGACAGATGGCATCATTAACATTTCAGCGAAAATGGCCGCGCCAGCACCGACACGCATGTATGAGGTTCCGCGACCGGAGATCGGAGTGCCGGTCAGTGATCAGAGGAAGATGATGGCGGCCGGCGGATTGGTGACTGGAGTCCCAGTTTGGTACGCCCAGCCTTGTAGATGTTGAAGCCAGAGCTGATCAAACTAAGTTGACCTTTTGTGTTTAGACTGTTTTCTCTTGTGCCAACATAACATTGTAAACACAGTATGTGCAATTGAAAATTTCGATGGACCAATAATATATGGGTGTGGTAAACATCCTCAATTTGAGGCCGGCCATTCTATTTCTAAAACGCGACTTTCTTTTTTCTTTTCTCATGGGCTTTCTCTTGGCTCTCAGCTACACAATCTTGCTTCCTAACTATCATAGAGAGAGCATCTACCTGCAAAAAGCTCTGGTTTATATTTGAACACTGTAATATATTCACGGCAAAAAGCTCTGGTTAGGAAGCTACTTTTAACTTGGCTTCAAAGTGTTGAAGTGGAGAATATGCGCTCTCGAAGTAGACTGTATGCATCTGGTCACGTCACGGGAGGCGAGATTTGTCTTTTAACCATTGCCTACGTGGGTTGAACCAATCAAAGCCACTAATCACATGAGTCTCACTTGAAACCCAGATGGATCTTACCAATATTAATGACTCAGATTATATATGGTCTACGGATCCATGTTCATTCGAGTACTTTTCGTTTAGGAGACAATTACAACACGATATAGTTAAGCTAAAATGGATAGATTTCAAGCATATATGATGAAAGGGTTAAGATTGCGTTTGGTTAAGCTTCGGGGAGATGTAAAGCCAATTTCGCAAAGATTTTTGAATGAAGGTGTATTTGCCGAAAGCAAATAAGGTTTGGATATCTGATTTTGGTTCATATTTTTTAAAGCAACTTAGAAGTAAAAAAAGAAAAAAAGAAAAGAGGGCAGGCAACTGGGCGACCAGTGGCAAACAGGCGAGGATATTGGCGAGCTTTGGCGAAGACCACAAGCAAGCATTGACGGCAACCAAAGGTGATCGTCGGCCAGGTGAACATCAACTGGGGTCGATGAAGCCATGGATGGTTCTCTTCTCAGTCTCAGTTCTGCTCACTGTTGAAGCTCCGTGTTCGAAGACGATGATATGCACAACGCCTAAGTGTGGATGAACTGAGCAGGTGATCCGTCGTTTAGGCAAAATAAGCTGTACAATGTTCTTTTCCTCTTTGAATTCTCCTTTTTTTCCGACCTTTTTTTACTCTCTTCGAATCCAACCGCTAAGATTGATTCTAGGAAAATTAGATTCTAATCATAGTTCAAGAACATATGGAGATTCGTAAACAATTTTAGATGAACAACGTGACCTTCTACCACAATCCCACAATACTCTATAAAATGACCCTTAAAAATGTGAACCTTACTCTTGTTTATGCGTATAAATAATTACATTTTACGCATGAACGAGGATCATTGGCATGCACTTTTGCAACCTGCAAAAGCTCTAAAGTTTCAAACACGCGTTTCTTATTTAACAGTAAATTCATGTTTTTTTACGTCTAATGTTTTGTATTTAAAATGATGGAGTCCAGCAGAAATATATACTATATAATGACTTAAAACACTTGGATCACGGCTTAATAATCAAAGGGGTGAGAGAGTATGTTCATATCATTTCAAATTTGATGACAGTGAAAGTTATTTTTGTTGTCGGCTAAGTTCGTATACCAGAAATTGAAATCAAACATCAGAAAAACTAACCTGAAAGCAGTACAAATAAATAAACAGAATGTTGATCCGAGCCCAAAGAAGTAACGTCGTGTCCTTAAGACGAATTTGGCCCCTCAATCAGTACCCGAGGATATTGGACAATCGTCTCCCAGGATAGAACGGATCTCGTTCCTCTGAAGTGGTACGTATTCAGAGGACTCCTTCGAACGCAACTTCGCAGAATAATCACACAAAAAAAAAATGACAATGATGAAGAATGAGAGTGCAGCAATATGACTCGCGGAAAAAAAACCAGAGAATTACTCTCTGACGGATGTTATTTTTTAAAAAAATAAAGAGCCGGAATGAACAGTTGTTAATAACCGAAGAGTTTCGTTCGGTCATGTGCGAATGAATAGTCACCAAGCGAATTTCGAATATAGAAGGACGAAAATGAAGAGTCACAAAGTGAACAATTTCGTTCGGTTCGGTTACTCTCACTCTTGGACACGAACAGACATATTTGTTCGAAATAAAAAGAATAAATTCAGGAAAAAATAAAACCGATGGTAACCCGGGGTCGGCCGGATGGACAGCGGCGGTGAAATCGACCCAGCATGGCGTAGGTCCTCTCTCTTCCACAAAAGTGGGGTACCCCTTAGGGCTCAAACCCATTTGAGAGGCTCAACTATTTAAACACATCTCTCATCTCTCTTCTATTCAATGTGGGACTCCTCCATCCACATCTCTTATTCACTTTACAAGGGATTTGTACCTAAAATTCCAACAATCCCCCACATGTGTCAAGTCACGAATATAATATAACTTGGTCTGCATTCATCCATGCAAAGGCGACTTGCGAAACGACTTGGAGAGCTGTATATTAACTTTGTCATGTATATCCGCAACCACGCACGGGAACAGCAACTTCGCTAGCAAAGTCTCTCGCGACTCATCATCGGTCGCCCCAACAACAAATCACAAATCCAGCTCCATCTCTTTTTGTCTGGTGGGAAGGAATAAAGAGTGAATAACTCCAAAGGAGGGGAAGATGTCAAATACAACTGCTTCGTGCTCTCAGTATCAGCAAATTGGAAAATTATGCGACGTAATCATAGTGACCGAGACCGATATCGTCATGATGTCGTCACCCCGTATTTGCAAAGGCTAAGGATATTATAAATTTGTGACTTTTGCGTTGACATGCGGTCATCGTCTTCGTCGACTCCTCTTGTCGTCACACCATACTTAGCCTAAATAAGTGCGTTGTATCGTAAGTTCCCTCTAGGTCAACAATAAGAAAATGCCGTCAATGATCCGTTGCTAGAAGAAAAAACAATAGCACTTCCTTTTTGTTTTGGTCATAAACAATAGCACTACTTTATATAGCGTAAAAAGAGAGAGCACGGGGCGGAGTGATGAATATTTTCTTCCTCTTTTTTTAGTTAATACGACTTAGCATGCGTATGGAAGTTGAGTCAAGCGTTCCATCCGCATAGGAATTCTCATTATTATCCAAATGAACAACACCAGTGCTTCGCTAGATCCACCTTATTAGCTATTTTGTTTTGTGAATGTGCATTTTAATAACTTAAACACAATAGCAATATCAGAAATACTAAAATGATTCTTTCCTATATAAAGCCAAGCCCTTCGTTCGACATGAATCCTAATAATGGGTTCGTGTCACTAATTCTAAAAATCCCGTTAGAATCAGTAGACGTCAACGAGGTAGTTTGGCTTTCTACTATGCTAAAGAAGATCTATTTCAAGAGTTTAAGTAATTAAATGAAGAAACTGACACACATACCCATATATATAGATATATATGGAGAAAATTTTAAATAAGGGCATGAAGGGAGACATTTACTCAAAAAAAAAGGGGCATAGAATGGATTTGGTTTCAAATAAAGGTTTGAAGTGATTAACTTGGTCTTAGATAAAGGCCAATCTCACTAATGTGATTTTTTTGAGGATTGGAACAGGGGCACTTTTGTCCAGAGGCGAGGTCGGCCTCGCCATGGCTGGGTGAGACTCGACCTCGCGTTGTAAAAAAATTACCCATGGCTGGGTGAGACTCGACCTCGCGTTGTAACAAAATTACCATTTCTAAGGCTCCGTTTGCTTCACAGAAAATGTTTTTTTGGAAGTCATTGTCCAGGAAAAATAACAATAGTTTCCAGTGTTTGATTGCAATTTGAAAATGAATCGGAAAATATTTTCCGTCGTTGTGTAAGAGAACTTGACTTTATTTTCTTAAAGAGACATGCACTATTCGTATGATCTGGTATCATCAAAATACTTTCCGATTGCCGAGGATCCCGGCTCAAGCGTCATGGACTGGGCCCCGGCCTCAGGAACTTGGTTTCAACCGCCGGGGTTCCCAGGCCCAAGTGTTGTGATCATGGTTGCAGGAGCCGGGGTTTTTTGGACCCAGCCACTAGGAACCTAAGCACAAGCGTTGAGTACCTTGTCCAATGAAATTATATCTACTACGAGATTTATAATCGTATATTACTATATAATATAAAGTCAAATTTGCATCTTTCTCGTCCAGTAATAATTTAAGTTTAACTATTAACTTGGATCACAGTTCATTACTCTTTTAATCTATTTTCTTGTATATGCATATGGGTTCATTGCATATATTTGGTAGATATTGATGATTTTTTAATGATATTACATTGTTTCCATGGATATTGATGCATAGTAATAATTTTTGACGTTATTCAATTATAGTGCACTTCCATCAGATTTTACTTTTTTATCATATATTCATGCATGTTGCATATTTTAGTTTATATTAATCTATGCATGTTTCCTAATTTAGAATTTCCTATATGTAATGCATTAGAAATTATGAAATAATTTAGGAGATCATGGATTTTAGTTAGTATATTTTTCCCGGTTGATGAGTAACCGTTTGTGCCCGCCTACTAATTTATTAATTTTCCCTTGGTGATTCACCCCGAGAAAGGTCACGACGATGTTTTCTTTCTTAACATTCAGAATAGAATGGTGGGATAGTCATCCATGGAAGGGATCTAACTTAAGCTAGACAAGCAAAACATCTAAGCGAAAAACCCAATTTATGGTCCAAACAACAATTAATTACATCATCGGCCATAAAGGAAAAGACCAATAAGCTACAATTTAACTACTGCAAACATGATAATACGTGGTTTTTGTTTTAAGGAGTCGTATGAATTTAGTACACAAATGAATATGCACGTATGATTTCATGTGAGAATTGTTGTAAAATAAAATGGACGAAAGCAAAAGATGAAGAAAGAAAAGAATAAAAATAAATAAAAATTTGAAAAAATAAAAATAATAATAAAATTTTAATTCAGGTAAAATTGTCACATATGTACGGACTTTTTTGGCGTGATAAAATTGTCACTTTCCTTAAGGATCAAAAATAGTTGTGTAAAATTGTCCCAGTGTACCATGGTAAAAAAATAGTTTGGGGTAAATGTGTCAAAGTGTACAAGTTTAGGGTTTTTCGTGGTATTAACCCTAAAGGAAAAGACCAATAAGCTACAATTTAACTACTGCAAACATGATAATACGTGGTTTTTGTTTTAAGGAGTCGTATGAATTTAGTACACAAATGAATATGCACGTATCGATTTCATGTGAGAATTGTTGTAAAATAAAATGGCTTGAATCAAAGAGCAATCAAGTGGACTTTGAGGATATCACTTTCCTTAAGGATTTATTTGCCCAAAATTGTCTAATGGTCCGCAGAAATCCTCCAGATACAATAAAGTCTAAAATGAGAATACTAGATAGAATTCTCCATTTCTCTCTAGGAAACAAAAGAAATGATGGTTGTAGTTTTCGAAAGAAGACTTGAAGAAATTGATCTCTGTTTTCTTTCTTGCCAAAAACTGACATATATAGAAATCGGTCTTTAAAGAACATTGGCAACTCTTCACGAAAGGTTGCAAAGCTAACAAAGATATTCCTTCGGAAGAAGTTGCAAACTAAATAGATGCAACCCTTCGGAAAAGATTGAAAACTGATCAAGTATAATCTCCAAAAGTTGTCTTGGAAAGACACATGCAAAATTCGGAATAAAATAAATAAATAAATAAATATATAATTCCGAATTTTTATAATTTCCAAAATTACTTAATAAACAAAAAACAACCTTTCAACTAATAAAAATTAATAAGATAACCTTACGAAATAAAATAAATCGCGCAATTATTCGCGCACCCGCACGCGGGTATTGTGTGGACTAGCACACACCCCATTGTCTTCACTCTAAGGAACAAGAAGATATTTACAGTTATAAAGCGGCCCACTTTCTCAAAACTTTCCTATGTGGGGCAAAGGAAAGAGCATTATTTTATTTGTTTTACAAACAAACATCCAACAAGAATTGTTATGTATCTTTGTTTTTTTTTTTCCGAAGATCCAAGGGGAAAGCATCCTGGACAAAGCAAATGGATGATCTTCAAATATAGAAAAATAATTAGGTTACGTAGCAAAATCGTTCACAAATGCCTCGTCAGTTCGCACTCCTATCTGAACAACTAAGGTATTGCGTCTCTCATTGCATAGGGAATTGTACACGCAATGCCAAGCATAAGCATCTTCATATGTAAGTCTAGAATTATTATTCGAATAAAGTAGAAGCATCCGCTCATAGGCTTAAGCCAATTATTTTACATTATCTCGACTTCACGGATTCTCGCGATTTTAATATTTTATGACTCCGTTAATTTCGCAAAAAATGAACGAATTTAAAAAAATTCATAAAATTGATTGCTTGTATCGCTTGACATAATTAATTAATGAAATAAATTTCCATCACCTATAACAATTTATCCAAATATTTTTATGAACGATGAAAATATTTTTTGTTTATTTATTTCAATAAGAGATATAAGTTATCATTTTTAAGAAATTTTTTTACAAATTATTTATTTTTGGTGAAACAAACGAAACCTACATATTTAAAAATTTTATTGATTGTTTAAAAAAATGGGGAATATTTATGCTAGCTGTCCAAGGCACATGTAATGTCATGTTAATTCCCTGACGACTACAAAGCCAATCGCTTTCCCAGAAATTTCATAGTCATTACGTTACTTTCCCCATTTTGAAAAATTCCGGGAGATGGAACCACTTCATGTTTCTTCTCAATTGAGATATCCCGATTCTTCGAAAAAGCATTAACTAAATTATTGATGTAGATGTAGTATGGTTAAGGATGTTTTACCACAGTACTAAGAAAATTGTCAGGGCAAAATTTTATCCTGAATAAGTATCACTTATCTCATAGCCCAGGGAGGTATTTGGCTATTTAATAATGATATTGTCAAATTCTTTTCTCTTTTGTCCAAAAATAGTATTGTCGATAGATCCCGTCACAAGTTCGAAATTCGAAACACACCCTTATTTATGTCACATCTAATTTAAGTAATTATTAAAGTAATGACCTTTGAGTTGGTTTTGAGGAAATTATGAAAATCCTTTCGTTATAATTGAAAGATTGTCAAAACTAGTATTGTGAGGTGATATGAAGGAAACTATTTTATTATATCATGAATGTCTTACGATGATTGTAAGTACCAAAATGTAAAAACTCTTGATGTGGTTTCAAGGAAATTGTGACATCATATATAATAATCACACACGTAGAAGATGCATGTCTTTGGTACAATTGCATTCGAAGGAGCCTATATATTTCCTAGTCCGTCTCTTTCTCTTATCCTAATCTCCTCATCGCAATCAAAGAAGAATCGTTCCACAAATACATATACTTTCGTCGTCTCCGATTCCATTCTTCGAAGGCACACCCACCAGTTTTGCGAACATGTCAGACATAGCCAACACTCACGATCGCAGCTTGGAAGTCACCATCATCTCCGGCGAGGACCTCCGCATCAACGACAGGCCCATCAAGAACAACGCCTTCGTCACCGTCAAGGCCGACTCTTGCTGCTCGCCGTCATCGCACGACTCGACTAAACCGGACGCGCGGGGCGAGAGCTACCCTTATTGGGATGAGAAGCTCCACGTGGAATTGCCCGCGGGCTCGCGCTACATCATTGCCGAGGTTCGCCGGAGGAGCTCCTCGGCCGGAGACAAGCTTGTCGGTACAGCGTGGATTCTGGTGTCGGACTTCGTCGGAGACTACACGCCGGAGAATTACCTGCATTTCTTGAGTTACAGGCTGAGAGACGCCAAAGGCCTGCGCAATGGGATCATCAATATCTCGGTGAGGGTCATCACATCGTCGTGTAAAGGGGCTTCGTCCCGTCCGTGGCGTTCGCCGCCGTCGGTGCTGGAGTTCAAGACGCCAGTGGATCGGGAGAAGAACGGCGGGACAGTGACTGGCGTGCCGGTTTGGTATCCCAATCGATGGAAATCTTAAAAAAATACTGTGTTTCGATTCTAAACTTGCAGTTGGAAAAGAAGGTATGAAAGGTTGATGAGTTTGGGTGTCTCTGGTTACGGCCTGGTTTGAGCTCAAGAAAGTGACGGTCTTGTTGGTGGAGCGTCAAGCGTCTAACGGTGTAAGCGCACATATTGATTTTGTAAACTTTATTACTTTAATGTTTTGGGGGTCCCCTGTTTGATTGGTTCGATCTCCGTTAGAGGGGTTGGAGGGTGAATGTCCGATATGAGAAAATGTCCTTCTTATAATGGCTATAAAGAAAATCATGACATATTTTCTGCCTTTAAACGTCTCTCCATCTCTATATCACAAGGCGCACTAAATTGGTGACTCCTTTTCATCTCGAAATCTTGTCAAAATATGTCACTAGACCATTTTATTTATTAAGATTAATGGAAATTTACCCAATTAATTATAATCATATTGTACGGATGCCAACTTAATTCTAAACTTTCTAATTTTATCAATCGAATCCTGAACCTTTACGCGGAATTCCAATGTAGTCATTTCGGTCAATTTTCTCGGGAAATTATTGACACAACGGTGTGCCAACTAGAACGGCCGGCGGTGACTGGATCGCCACGTCAGCGCTTTCCAGCGAAAATTGACCGAAATGGCTACATTAGAACTTTGCGCAAAGGTTTATAACTAAATTAGCAAAATTGAAAAATTTAAGACTGAATTAGAACCCGTATAATAGGTTCAGGACCGATTGAATAATTTTTCCTAAACAACAACATTAGTATTCTACAATAAAATCAAAATAGACAGAAATATCTATCTTGACTAATCCCATAAATGTCTACCTTTCGATGTTTTAGATTAGATATTGCACATGCTACAAGCATTTATTTTTCCCTACTACATTAACTCAAATCTTTAAATACTATATGGACATTTTAAACTTATCTTTTTCATGTGCCTATATTTCTTCCTTTTGTCTGGTAAAAAAAATTATTTAAACGTAAATTTTTGTTGACAATAATTTTTTTTTCATTGACTAATTATTTAAAGCGATAGAAGCAATCATTTATAAAAAAAATATTTTTCAAATCATTCATTTTTCGCGAAACAAGCAAAGTCTTATTTAAACTTACAAAGTTCAACCTATTATGCATAATACTTCTCAATTGTTTTTTCCCTCGAATCCTCGTAATGATAATTCAGAAGCCCAAAACTTCCTCATGAGCTCGTATCACTGAAAACTACGATATTTATTTTCTAGAGGTCATTGGACGTAAATTGTCGTTTTACGTCGGTTCTTTTCAAATACGTTTTCTAAATAAGATTAATGAAACTATGAAACGAATGAAGGAGGGTGCATTCTCATACCTAACTTTCCAAATTTTTACAGCGCAATGTTTGAATGTAGATTATTTAATTAGATCAATATGGACTCAGTACGGTTTTAACTTGGACCCGATAATTTGAGCCCAATAAAAGCAAACTCGGGTCATAATATGAAGCATTCCTTCCTTTCTGTGACCAAAGAAAGTCTTCAATTATGATCAGCGCCAAAAAAAAAATCGATTTCGCAATTCGTTTTTATTGGAGGCGAATTGTATATCTTGAACAGATATTGGGTAACACATGGTAATCTGAGCTGTAAACTCTAAAGATCATTTGGAATCACTTGTCTAATCTAAATTTGGATTGTTGTACATGCTCTCAATGATTATTTTGCTTTTTGCCCATACAATGAGTCTGCCATGGGACGGTGCATCACAACCATTTATGATGATTAATCTCCATGATCTTATTGTAAATTGTGGGACGTATTTTATTTTTTGACAGATCCGTATCTCGTTTAAAAATATCTCCATAAAAGAGCGCCGCCAGCGTAGCTTTCTTTTATGTGATAACGCTTGTTATATAACTTATCCCTAATGTTCTTTTTCCAATGCGATGGAACAATGCGCAACAATATATCCTACTAGTTCCATAAACCATATTAATTGCTAGTCAAAACTCAATTAAATAGCACGGATAATATGCGCTTGTTCGCCTTAGCAATTCAGATAGTTGAAAGCGGTTTTATGTTTATAATCCTATGTATGAGCCCTTTTTTCTCAAAAGAGTTGGCCAACTACCGGTCATTCTAAAATTTCTCCTGCGCCTTAACCTCGCAAAACCCAGGAAAATTAGATGAGTGTCTTGATTAAGATTGCTTCCATCTCATGAAAATAGTGGTGTGAATCCAAGATCTCGATAAGGCTTGTAAATGCACTATTCAGAATAAACTTTGCAACACGATATTACTTCTTTTCTTTTCCAAAAATCTTTTCGTGTCTCCATATGTCACTCATTACGTCTTATTTAATATATAAAAATAAAGTCTAATCCAATCTGTGTCGGCCCTCATTTGGATAATGTCCATCCATATATCCAACTAAAGAAAATCAAGAGCCTAGGTTTTATTGGACCGGTGCATCTGTACATTCTCATGGAAAACATATGAAAGTTTCCCGATTTCCAGCAACGAAAAGAGATGTGGATAATATTGAGATGGACTTAGACATTAATTAACAAAGTCAAAGCATGACCGCGTGTCGCCCACGGGTTCACAGAATCCGCTCCACCGTGGACTTACCCGTGGCGATCCTTATCTACTTGTTCAAAATCTTTGGGCAGTTACACAGTATGATTTTAGGGGGAACCATTGAAAAATGTTCTCTATTGGCGTATAAGATAAGGTAGAGAATAAGGACAATGAAATTTGCCGGCCCATATGGTTCATAATTTATATACATGAAATTTAGGTGGGGCAATGGACATTAAATGATTTATGTATTACAGTAGACCTAATTGCAGCCTACTCCGAATAGAGATTGGTTAGCATTACGGCACCGCTACAAACAAAAAGTAACGGTGCCAGCAGGAATCTATGTTATCTTAAATGAGTATAGAGTTTTACTCTTATAAGTTCATGCTTTTTATAATATTTATAACAACAAGCTATATTTGACATTAGATTTTTAAACTCGTATGAAAGGAAAAATAGTAATGAAAGTATAATTCCTTAAAACATGATTGAAGATTGATGTAAACTAAAGAAAAGAAAAACCACCTTAAAATGTAATAGAAGAATTAAATCAAGTAGACATTATTTCATGTTTGTGGTTATCTGAACTTTGGTCATTAATAATTTTAGATTTTTTTCTCCCTTTAAACATACTTTTAGCAAAATTCTGTTATTATGGGAATCGATTCCCACTCGGTGGGATTTTGATTTCCAATTTCACCTAAATATGATGTGCACTTGCAAGTAGACATGGCCACGGGCCGGTTTCGGCCTAGTCAAACCCGGGCCTGGCCTGTTGACCGGGCCCGCGGTTTAGAACCGGAACCGGCCGGTGGCCTACGGGCCCGGTTCCGGTTCCAAATTTTTTTTTAAAAAAAAAAAATAATGATTTAAAAAAAATTCATTATTTTTTTTTTATAAAACAATTTGAACTCCATTTGCCATGTATTGTAAGTGCATTGATCTCTAATTACAATACTTGACTTGGGTGAACTCTAATTACAAGGCTCGGCTTGGGTTTTATACACAATGATTCTAATGCTTCTTCGTTCCCATTCGATGTGAGACTCTCGGCTTGCCTTGAACAATGTGAGACTCTTGGCTTGTCTTCATGCAAATGCCAAGAGTCCCACATCGAATGGGAATGAAGAGACCATCAAAGGGGTTGTGTATAAAACCCAAGCCAAGCCATGAGCATGTGAAGTTGTATGCCTTTTGTGGCTACAATCGTTTGCTAGTTAAGAGCAAATGCCAAGAGTCCCACATCGAATGGGAATGAAGAGACTATCAAAGGAGTTGTGTATAAAACCCAAGCCAAGCCATGAGCATGTGAAGTTGTATGCCTTTTGTGGCTATGATCATTTGCTAGTTAAGAGCAAAGGGTTCCATTGAACCACCTAGAACCGGACCGGACCAATGGTCCGGTTCCCGAATCTATGATTTGCCGGTCCGATTCCTAGTTCTAAAATTAAGGGACCGGTCTTACCGGTTTGGTTCCCGGTTCCGAGCGGAATCGGACCGAACCGGGAACCGATTACTCCTACAATTTACATTTTGATTACAATTTATATTGAATAATTCATTATTTCATAATTTTATAATTCATTATTTTTTTATTTCATAATTTATTTTTAAAATTTTTAAATTACGAATCGGAACGGCTAGGGGCGGTTCCGGTTCCAGTTCACACATGGCCACGAACCGGAACCGGTTCCGAACTGTGGCCATGTCTACTTGAAAGTGATTATATATAGGGAATTATAAGAGTAATTTGATTTTAAACATATAAGAAAAATGCGAATGTTCTAGCCAGTGAGATGGTATTCATCTCCTTTTTTTAGGTGTTCATCAATTGACAAGAAACTAATTACATGCAAACTTGATCCTAAGCTAATCTTCGCGAGAAATTTGAGGCTTTGGGGTCGACTCATTTTTCCTTCAATTACGTTCCACAATTTGTTAATCAAGTGAGCCCTTCTGAATAACTTCGATCCAAATACATGAGACCAAGACACACACACACACATATATATATATATATATATATATATATATATGCTCAAATTTGATAGACCAACATCATATTCTAAAGAAATAACCTCTAAATGAATATTAATTACATATCAAGAAGTGGAGCCACTTATTATTAATTCGGGTCACATAAATAAAATACAAAATCCATAATTTTCTCCAACCGATTTTGTCACCGCATCATTCCTTCAAATGATTTTACCTTATTTTTTGTTATGTTTTCTTCCTTCTTGGTTCTTCAATCGGGGAGAGACAATTCGATCATGAACCTTTTTTTTGCTAGTCGAGTCCTAAATCTTTTGCGTTTGTGCCAATTCAGTCTATCCATTCGGAAATCACTGATATGGACGCCGGCTATCCTACCTAACGCAGCCGTCACTGACGTTGATATTTTTAATAATATTTTTATATTTTGTAAATTTTTTCTTTTTTTCTCTTTCTTTTTTTTTCTTCCCTTCTTCCTTTAGCCGGTCGGCGGACCTCGGCATGGTGGGTAATAACTATGAATATCATCCATGTGTAAATTTAACTAAATATAGATTTGGGTAATGTGTGCATATGTATAATCTATGAATTAAAAATCTGAATATAGGAAGAGGGTCCGATCCTTCCCCTCGCTAATCAGTTGAGCTTTATTTCCTGTCCATATCATAGATTTCTCCGCTTGTACTTGTGATTTCTCCGTCGTCCACGTCAACCAATACAACCGCGTCAAACTCGGTCCATACTGAGAAGACGTACCAGAAACCACCCACATCCTTCTCCCTTCTTTCTATCTCCCTTCCTTCCCTACCCCTTGGCCCTTATATATATAGTCAAACCACACACCCTCTTTCCTCTTCATAGTCTTCTTCATCTCGACACTCTTCATTACATTCATCTCCTCCGTTTTTCCAACAACAAGCTTCAAGCTTTCCAAGCGGTGATCTTCGACCCCAGAAAAGGAGGAAAAGAGGATGAAGCGAGCCTTGGAAATCACCATAATATCCGCAGAGAACATACGGCTCAACAAAAAGCCCGTGAAGAACGCGGTCGTGGCGGTCCGAGTGGAGCCAGGCCATGAATGCTCGACCAAACCGGCGCCGGACCAAGGAACAAACCCTCAGTGGAACGAGAATCTCGTCGTTGACTTGCCGCTGCATGCAGGCTTCATTACCGTGGAAGTGAAGTGCAAGAGCTCGTCGGGTAGTTACAAGATCGTCGGCGGAGTGACAGTACCGATTTCGGACTTCGCCGGGGATTTTGGCAGACCGGAAGGCTACGTGCACTTTCTGAGTTATAGGTTGAGGGACTCTAATGGCGTGCGGACGGATGGCATCATTAACATTTCAGCGAAAATGGCAAAGCCGGCGCCGACACACATGTATGAGGTTCTGCAGCCGGAGATCGGAGTGCCTGTCGGTGATCAGAGGAAGATGATGGCGGCCGGCGGATTGGTGACTGGAGTCCCAGTTTGGTACGCCCAGCCTTGTAGATATTGAAGCCAGAGCTGATCTAACTAAGTTGACCTTTTGTGTCTAGACTGTTTTCTCTTGAGCTAACATAACAATGTAAACACAATAAGTGCATTTGAAAATCTCCATGGACCGATAACATATCGGTATGAGAAAATAAACACCGTCAATTTGAGGCCGGCCATGCTGTTTCTAAAACGCGACATTTTTTTTGTCTTATCTTTTGTGGTTTCCCTTGGCTCTCAGCTATACAATCTTGCTTCCTAACCATCATAGAGAGCGCATCTACCCGTACATAATAGAAGCAAAAAACTCTGGATTATATATGAACCGATATATATATTCATAACAACAACGGTTAGGAAGCTACTTTTAACTTAGCTTCAAAGTGTTGAAGTTGAGAATATGCGCTATCAAAGTCGTCCATGTGCATCTGGTCACGTCACAGAGGTGAGATTTGTCTTTGAACCGTTGCCTACGTGGGATTAACCAATCAAAGCCACAGATCACATGAGTCTTACTTGTGACCCGGATGGATTTTACAAGTATTAATGATTCATATTATATATGGTCTGTGATTCCAGGTTCATTCAAGTACTTTTCCTTTAGGATACAACTACAACGTGACATAGTTTTAGCTAAAATGAATAGATTTCAAGCATACATGTTAAAAAAAAGGGCTAAAATTGCATTTGGTTTAGCTTCGAGGTGATGTAAAGCCAGTTTCCTGAGGATCTTTAGATGAAGGTGTATTTACTTAAGGAAACAGCATTTGGATATTTGATTTTGGTGTATATTTTGTAAAGCAAACTTTGAAATAAATAAAAAAAAGAGGCAGACAACTGAGTGACCAGAGGCAGAGAGGGTAGAGATATTGGGCGAGCTTCGGCGGCGACCACTGGCGAGCATCGATAGCAATCAAAGGCAACCGTTGGCCAAGCGAGCATTAATGGGCGACCCTCGTTGCAGCAGATCTCGTTGCGACCCTCATCGAAGCTCAGTGAAAGCACTAGGTGAGGAATCTAGCTTCGGCAAGGCTCATCGTCGAGGTCAAGTGACCCAATGCAACGAGCAGCTGGAGTTGTGTGACCTTAGGTGAGGCAACACCAAGGTCGCACAACCTCAAGATTTCCATATCTAGCCTTTTGACAGTTGGGCTTCCTAGTTATGGCCCTTCAACGGTCGGCATGACCCTAGGCAAGGGCCGCTGAGGTTGTGCAACCCTAGGCGAGGCAACGGCAAGGTCGCGTCAGCCTTGCAATGAGTCGTCGAGGTCGCACAACCACCGGCAAGCCAAATCTAGACTTCAGCACCGCGCGAGCCTTACAACAGGTCGCTGAGGCCACGCGACCCCAGGTGACGAGACATCAATGGCGTGCGACCCCAGGCAAACCCACGTTGGCGTCCATCTAGCTCCTCTGAGCCACCTCCACGATGTCTAGATTTGCAGGGAGATGATGAATAGTCGTGAGGGCAAGAGTGGAATATGAAAATATTAGTAGGCGCAATTTTAGAAAAAAAAAGGTTGATTAACCTTGGAAGCTGTCTTCTGAAAATGCTAAAAGCCCATGGTAACTCCCTGTTTGCCTTGGGCTTTCAGTTTTGTCAATACTAGCATCTCTCCAAATTGATCCAAAAAAAAGATTTACTAAATGTTATAACTTTTTCTCGAAAACTTTAAAAGCTCAAATATCTAGGAGAAACTGAATCAAACGCATCATAAATATTATTGTGTATGTGAATTAGAACATGACACGGATTCTATATTTCCAAGTCAAGTGTAATTAATTGCATACTTCGCCATCCACTCGTAATCTCATCTGCATATTGGGAACATACCCTCTCTATAGTCGTGGGGCATTGATTGTTGGAGATTTGTATTCACGAGATTTATCGTGCAACCTCGTTAGTAGTCGCACTGGCGGGTTGACTTTAAAGTAAGTCGTTCTTTTAGATATGTCCAGTCTTTTCTGTGTGCCATCATTCTCACGTAATATCCCAACACCCTCGCGGACGACTTTAAAAGCGACGACCTTTGCCTTTCGTCAGTCAATTTAATATATTTTTAATATATGGGGACAATAAAGAAAGATCCACTCTAAATAAATATATATATTTGTGTGCACGTATGTGTTTGTTATATGTGCTACATATTATGCAATACTCTTATCATTCTATGAGATGAAAAATTTATGTCATTCTAACCAATATCTCAATTTACTGAAGAAAATCAGAAGAATTAAAAAGATAACGATTCAAAAGTAAATTTCCCAAGAGAAGAATATTCTACACTGAAAGCCATAATACACAGTCTTTTTCTTCTGCAGTATATACTGCTATTTATATTAAGAAGACAAACAGATGAAAAACTCATGTGAAAAATATTAGCCATGACACATGTCACTCAATTATTCCTTAACCCATTACCACTCTATAGTTAGATTTACTTAGCTGGGACTAGGGTTAAGGCAGCAAAACGGTTGTGCATTCCTTCATTTGGCTTGTGACACTTGTCTCTGAAGAAAATAATTCCTTCTGCTCTTTTTTCTCCACCTTGCTCTATAGAAACGGAATTGGTTTTGCTGTGGCAATGAGATGAGTTGCACATGTTGCTCTTCACCTTGTGAGAAACCAAAACCTCTTCTTGAATTGTTGAAAACTTCTTTAAATCTGGACATTTCTCTTCTTCTACACCATCCGATGGTTCACCAATATTATTAACCTTATCGGCCACCCTCAAACTAGGATTAGGTGGAAAACCTAGTCCCAGTTTGTATCGTAACCTGCAATGATCAAAGCACGGTAAAGCTTTTGTAAATATGTCAGCAATTTGATGAGTAGTAGGAATATAGCGAACTTCAAGTGACTTGAGAGCGACTTTCTCTCGAATGAAATGAAAATCGATCTCCACGTGCTTTGTCCTTGCATGAAGGACTAGATTCGCTATCAATGAAATAGCCGACCGGTTATCACTGTAAAGCACAGTCGGACCCCTGAGCGGAATACCCAAATCTCTCAATACAAAAGAAACCCATGTAAGATCGGCCGTGGCAAAAGCTAAGGCCCTATATTCAACCTCCATCGATGACCTTGACGCTGTCACTTGCCGTTTTGCGGACCATGAAATGATATTTTTTTTTTGGTAAGGTAAGATGTATATTAACTTTTTAACGCACCACTTACAAAGAGGGGTTAGTCGTACACAAAAACCTCGTACCTAATGGGACACCAATGGTGTTCCAACGGGTAAAAGGTGTGCGACTATTCAAAGCTAAACGCGATCGAAGTGGAGCAAAGGATAGCCAAAACAATGGCTAAGGGAAAACAAGAGCAACAGACAATCTAAAAAGGAAGATCACTCAAAGATTGTTGCTGGGATGCCCCAGTTGCTTTGGATTCTCCGGTTGCGGGGAGTGTCTTCCGCGAGCAAAGGATAGCCAAACCATGAAATGATATTCAATCCCAAGAAAGTGCAAAACCCGGTCGTTGACCTCTGAGTCTCAGAATAACCAGCCCAATCAGAGGCCGCATACCCGTATAAATTCAGTGTGCTATTAGAGTGAAGATAAAGCCCCAGTCGCTGAGTTCCTTTCACATGCTCAACATCCGTTTTAACAGTTTGAAATCACCATTCGTAGGAGAATATATTTTCTGATAGATTTGATTTACTGAAGAAGAGATGTTCGGTCTTGTGATCATTAGATATTGTAATCCACCCGCAAGACTTCTAAAGGAGTGAGGATCATGAAAAGGTTCCATGTTTTGTACCGTTGGATGAGTTTTGATAGGCAATGGGGTCTCAATCGGCTTATTGTCTTGCATTTATGCTTTCTGAAACAAATCACCAGCATATTTAGATTGTGTTAGAAATAGGTCCGGACCCGTAAACTTGGCTACAATACCGAGAAAATAGTGAAGTCGTCCAAGATCTTTCATAGAAAAATTTATGCTTAAAGCTTCTATTAATTCCCGAAGTAGAGATGATGAGCTACCCGTCAAAATAATGTCATCAACGTATAATAATAATACCAAGGTGTGCTGACCCGTGTGAAGAGCAAACAATGACTAATCGGTAGAGCTGCAATGAAATTCTCGTTCCAACAAAAAGTTGCTGAATTTTTCAAACCAAGCTTGTGGAGCTTGTTTTAAACCATATAACACCTTCTTGAGTAAACAAACCGAGTTAGGCATCGTAGAACTCACAAAACCCGGCTGTTGTTCCAAAAACACCGTCTCATTCAATGACCCGTGAAGAAACGCGTTCTACACAGCCAGTTGATGGATAAACCATCCTTTAACAATTGCCACGGAGAGGATAATTCTCACTGTTGCCTGTTTAACCACAGGACTGAAAGTTTCGGTGAAATCAACACCTTCCTCTTGATGGTACCCTTTCGCCACTAATCGTGCTTTTAGTTTATCAAGGTTTCCTTCCGCATCCAACTTGGCTTTGAACGCCCACTTACATCTGACGATATTCATTTATGAAGATCTTGGTACTAGCTCCAATGTTTGATTTAATTCGAGAGCCTCCAATTCTTCTATCATGGCTTTCCTCCAACTCGGGTGACTTAGTGCTCCTTTAACTGCTTTCGCCTCTTTTGGGATCTCACGTGCTGTAGAGAGAACATACTTCGGATTGGGCTTCCTTATTCCCAATTTCAACCTTGTTTGCATTGGGTGAGTATACTGTTGTTGAGTGGATGGAACTGGTAAATCACTTGAGGCAGAGACTGTTGCTTCTTCATGTGTTTCATAGTCTGTGCATGGTTCTTGTGAACCCAACTATGGTTGCTGCACATTTGTCTCATTTGGCAGCTCATAATTTTGTTGTCCAGAGCTGTTATCATCAAATAGAAATCCCATGCTCGTGTGTTGTAATGTTTGCCCTTCACTCACTGTTGTTTTAGATTGTCTAGTAAAGAATTCCACCCCTTGTAACCAAGTCTGATACAACTCCGAATACCCAGGAAAAACAGTTCCCAATTTGTCAGAAAATGGGAATCTCGTCTCATCAAATATCACGTGAGGACTTACATACACCCTTCCTGTAGGCGGATAAAGACATCGATAACCTTTATGTCTCTGACTGTACCCAAGAAA